AAAGAAAGAAAGAAGGAAGAAGAACGAAAAATTCATTTTTTACATACCAAAATTTGAAATATAAACATGCGGTGATGGTGCCCTCTTCTGTACAGTTTCATAAATTGTTACGGCTTTTTTCGATATATCCGTTTCACCATTATCGTTCGAACCACAATTGAATAGATATTGATAAAAACGTTTCGAACCAATCAATGAATTTAAACGTTCTAATGAAATATATGTTGGATAGAAAATGTGTGGTTGTTCGGTTTGTGTACGAACTAACATTCGACCTAAACATGAGATTAATGGTCCAAGATTTTCCGAACGAAATTCCTGTCGTATAAATAAATGTGGTAATGCATTTAATGAACCGAATTTGGTGGCAATTATCTTCGATTGTAAACCATAATCAATAAATGTTTGCATTGTACGTTGAAGATTTTCCGTACGTAAAATGTTTGATTGTAAAAAACGTATTGAAATTCGCTGTACATCCGATGATTCGTGTCCTGGTTGATTGATTCGAAGATGAAAATCGAAAGATTAAAAGTTGCTCGAAACAAACAAAACATTCGAATCTTACCCAATAAAGTGATAATTTCCGGTAGAAACATTCGACCAAAATAATCTTCTTGACAGCCATCAACATCCTGATGATCAGCTGCCATTTGTTGATTATTGCTGATTGATTGATTATCTGATTGATTCACTGATGGAATAGATTTCATCGATATTAGATCGATAATAATCTGTATTGATTCAAGTAATTCATTACGACGAATTGATTGTATGAAAACATTATCAGTGGATAATGTTTTTCGTAACATTGATGGTGATTGAGTTTTGCTCGCCGTCGTCGTCGTGGTCATCGTCGTTGATGATGGAATCTGTGCCATCGAATTACATCGAACCATTGGATGTGGAATAAAGCTACCATTCGGATGGTTGTTTCGATGATTCGGTTGATGAGCGGAATCAAGATTGAAATAAATCGCAGTCAAATCAACGATAATCGATTTTAAACAATCAAATATTGTTATTATTGTTGAACGATTAAGACGATTTGGAAATTTTTTCAATAATTTTCGTAAGGATTTTAATGTTTCTAATCGACGGCCAGTGATGACAAATTGTGAATTACCGATGTTTGTCGGTATTTTCGATGTCGATGTTGTTGTTGATGGTAATTGCGAAGATGGGTTGTTCAAAAATGACGAACGCTGTGGAATCGAATGTTGTTGTTGTTGTCGTAATAATCGAAGATGTGAATTCAATTCGAACCAATCCATTTTTGGTCGTTTGTTTTTTTGGTTTTTTGGTTTTTACGTTGAAAATCTTCACGGTTAACAACGAAATTTTCCTCGAAAATCAACCCAAGAACACAGCAGAATAAGGAAAAATCACAGGTATTTTTCACATTTTCATTTGAGTAAAATGATCACAAAAATCCGAAGAAAAAATTTGAAAAAAAATTAAGATTTTTTTCTGTTGTTTTTGTTGTAGATTTCCTTCGCGAAGAATCAAATCAAATCAATATGATGATTGTTGCCGGTAATTTTTGTTGTTGTTGTTGGTCGAATGGATCAATGTGAAAAAACAACGAAATCGACGCCCCGTTATTGTCTGGTTGTTATTCAACGTTCCGTTCCTGTCTGATATATTTTGAAGAAAAAAAATTGTTTCAAAGCGGATAATAACCCTCGTTTATTAATATTGTCAAATTGCCGACTATCGTAACATTGTCATTTTTATGTTTGGATTTTCATTTCATTGATTTACCTCTACTGGATTCAAAATTCTGGAAAATGAGATATACTGACCAATAGACTGGCTAGCAGCAGAAAAAACAGAAGGGTACCGAATCGGTATTTTGAATAGTGATTACTGCGCCGATGATATCCTTGTATCTTCAAAGTGTCCAGGTAACCAGGCGTGTAGTTGTCAATGGACTTTTTCCCTTTTCTAATTCCAATTGAAAATTCCAATATACGATACACCTGAAGAATGGCAATCAAATGAATGGAATCGAGGAAAAAACGAACCATAATCGTAAAAAAAGAAATTCCTATTATGAATTGAATTCAAATTGATAATGAATGGATGACGTTCGTTTGTTCCATTGCATTTAGATGAGATTTTCTTCTTTCTTTTTGGCTTTGTCTTTTTTTTGGAATTAATCATCAGGATGATTAGTATGATTGAAATGGAACCAAACAAAACAAAAAAACCCGAAAAACAAAAGCCCAGCCGGTGGTAATCATCAACAACAATAATTAACAACCGAAGAATACGAGGAAAAACTTGAAAATTTTTAAAGAAAAACTCGAAAAATTGAAAAGCAGAAATCAACCAATAAAATCAAAAATAAACCAAATCAAAAAAGAAAAAAATCGATGATAGTATCGATTTCCAATCAAGAAAGAAAAAATATTGATTGATTTGAAAATGTTTGAAGGTCACACACCTTCATTCATTTCCTTCCTTCCTTCCTTCCTTTTTGTTGTTCAATCATCGATACTATTTATCGATTGTATCGTTTGGCTGTTAAAATATTAATCTTCATTATGTGACCAGTGTGTGTATTGTATAAAATTCTTCATTTTTTTTTTGTTTTGTTTGGGGCAGATATTCTTTTAATAGTTGTTTTTGTTTTCATTTCATTTTCAGGTAAAATAATCATCATCATAATCATTATTTCACGTATCAAACGGTAAGCCACACACAATAATAATCTGCCATACATTTTTTTTCGGGATTTCCATCATCATAATCATCATCATAATCATCATTATCATCATCATCGTCGGGTATATGATTTATCCAGACACAACCATTTAGATAATACGACGGCAACAACAGCAAAAATGGTAGTAGCATTAGTTATCATCAAATAGCAACTAATTTTGTATTCGTGTCACTTTGAAAAGAATAATAATAATTTTTTTTTCTCGGATATATATTGCAATCTTCAACAATTTCCAATTCAAAGTGAAACCAAAAAAAAAAAAAAAAAGTTTTTTTCGAACGTTAATTATACCATAACATTCGAACGTTTTGAAAACGTTCGAA